CCGGGGCTTTCCCAGGATGTTGACAGGGAGAAGAGCCCTGGGTGGGCCAGTGGTGTGTGGTGCGGTCCTGAGAGAGGTGGCGAGAGGGGGCACAGGGGACAAGCTTCTCGTGTTGATAGGGTGACCATGCGTCTTGGTTTGCTGTGTGTCTGAGACATTGTTTTATGCTGATGCCTTGACATGTGGGGCACCCTGGACACCAGAGGGACCGCCCCTCCCAAGGGACAGTAAACAACTCTAGCATGACCTTCACGGGCAAACCAACCGATCCAGAGCCCATACCCAGCCACCTCCTCTAATGGGCTTCTACACTCCTGACCACCATTCCCCTGTCCTAATCACACCTGGGTCAGGTCCCAGACGACGAAGGACAGCTCCTGTACCCCAGAGCGCACTGAAATTGTTCAAACCAGCTGATCCAAAGCCCGTTCGCCCTGCCTTACCCATTCCTTCCCATGGAGACCACAGTAAAGGTTCTCGTCCATGTTTTCCCTGCTTCCTCTGACTCTTGACCAGCCCGGGTGCTTCTCCGAGGGGCCCTGCAGGGTGTCACCTGCCCCTCCTCTCGGGATCTGGGAGGAACATACTATTCTTTTCCATGTCAGTCATTTCCTAATCTGCTGGGCTTCGGACACTCGAGGGAAAAAAACTATCTTTTAAAACACCTAGTATCTCTACCTATTGTCCCAATGAAATTATCGAAATGCTCTCTGTCTCAGAGGATCCTGGCTGGGAGGATAGATCACTGCATGTCGTGCTCATTAGCCATCCCATCTAGGGCTTGCAGCAGGGCTGGGGTCCTGAGTTCTGCCCGATACACAGCGAGCACTCAGTAAAGCCTCATTGGCTGGCTGACCCTTCCTTCCGCAGAGCATCACCACACATTTCCAGACTGCTGTAGCTCCCTACTTCCTGTCCGCTCTCGTTACTGGAGAACAAGCCCTACCATATTGTATCTGGAGGCGAAGAACAAGAGAGACAAAATGGACTGGCCAAGGAGCAGGGCTGAGCGAATCTGAGAAGAGCCCTGGCTAGCCAGGGACCTAGTTCTAGGCTCTGATGGTGAGCGGTGCATCAGGACACAGATCAGCTCAAGAAGATGGCTAGAGTATCATCACATTTTATACATGTAGGGAATGACAAAGTAAATCTTTCAATTAATAGAGGCTAGTGATAGCCCCAACCACATACGAACATACACACGATTGTGTTACAAATTCTGGACACCGAATCTGACCAACAAGGAGAGAATTTAACGAACTGCTGAAGTGCCAGGTTCCGGCTTGAGCACTTCATGGTTCAATATTTAGGTGGCCGCCTGAGTCGCAAGATTAGATTTCAGACAAGTCAGGGGAGAGAATGAGTATGAAGTCATTCTATCTGAAATCATAACAGCAGGTCTAAGTCCACAGGGCTGCAAAGGTGAAAAGAGGAAGACACAAGTGCTGCGGTTTCAGACCCAACGTTCAGAGCAGACACATTCAAAACAGGCCAATGAAAATGCTGCCCAACACGCATCCCTGGGCAACCTTTTCCAGCCCCTAGTGCTGGTTGAGCTCACAGCGGGCACTCCAAGCCTCGGGACAGACTGAGCCAATGACTACGGCGCTCAGCTGCAAGGCTTATTGGAAAAACGGGGCTTCTCGTCTCAGAATGTGAAAAGCCAGCGGAGTGGATAAGACACGACCTGCGATGTGCCCCCTTATGAGAGCAGCTGGTGTTTGGCAGCAATGCCAGGGAAGGATACGTCGAGTCTCCTGGGAGAGGGTGCACGGAGGATTCTGGAAGGGTGGAGAGACTCAAAGGAAGTGAGTATCCAAGCAGGTGCTTTCACAAGTGGTGGGCAGAATTTGAATAGATAAATGGGGCCACTTGAGACAGAGGGAATGGCCTGACTACATACTAGGGGTGTGACAAATGCTAAGTAAACCATTGTGAGTGAACAGGGCAGGAAACAGAAGGAAAGCCCCTGTTCAGGAGGGCCCCAGGGGTCATGTGCAAACTAGCAAGAGAGTCAGAGAAGCCTGACGTGTTAGGGGACACAGACATTATTCTATACGTGAAACACAGAAAGGTGTAGGCATACTGCACACGGTCTTAAACAGGTTGTTTTTATTAGAATAAGAGGTGCCATTTACTGAGAACCTACTATGTGCCAAACACACTATATCTATCACCTTTAATCCTTGCAATAACCCCACACATGAAATCATGCAAAGGCTATCCTTGTTTTGCAGATGCAGAAAATGAGCCTGGAGAGATTGTATCACCTCCCCAAGGAGACGTAGCTGGAAAGGCACACGTAGCTCTTGTTTGCTTCCTAAGCCTCGGTGCTCCCACTGCACTGTGGTCCTTCCAGAGCCTGTGTGGAACCACAGGCAGACCTGGAGCGCGGGGAGGGCATTCGGTCTAAAGCCTGGAGCAGCATGAGGGCAGGCTCTCACTGACACTGGCCGGTCCCCCTGCACCACAGTGGGGACAACTTATCAAATTAAGGAGTGACGCATGGGAAGAAGATGTCGTACGGGGAAAGGATGAGCTGCTGGCACACGGTGTCCTGTCCCTGGCTGGGCAGCCCGGTGCGGACATCCCTGCGGCAGCTGAAGGTGTGGGTGTCAACCCTGGGGACCCGAGGTGGGGGTCGAGAGAGCTCAGTGTCCACTCTGCAGAGAGATGCCTAAAGCTTTGGAGGGCTTAGGAGCCCACGTGAGACAAGAAGCCAAGGACACGGGTGGAGATGCCCGCGTGTAATCATCAGAGACAAGAGAGGAGAAAGCCTGGGGCAGGAGAAATCCCCCAGCACCTCAGGAACAAGGCAGAATGGTGACTGTGTGGAATGCTTTTTAGTGTCATGGGACAGGAGCCTCTGTCTCCTGGGACAGGTAACTCTTACTACCTACAACCGATTAGGGCCCAGGTGTTTTAGAGCCTTGAAAAATTAGAAGTTAACTCAGAGAAAATTGCTAAGGTATGATTTTTTTTTTTTTTTTTTTTTGGTGGCAGAGGTGATTGCCTCCCCTGCCCCACCCCCACAGGCATTAAGCGGTTCTGTGCATAACTTAGAAGCTGTATCTCGGAATCCTTTCCCAATAAATGATAGGGCGTTCCACTCCTCAGATGCTCATGGAATCAGCCGTCTTGTCCTTTGGCCTGTTTTCCCGCTGAGTCCATGAATCCTTCAGTGTGGGCTGACACAAAGGTGTGCGTCTAGGCACAGAGCTGTGACCCCTGCAGCGCGCAGGTGCCGAGCGGGGTGGGGGGCCGGCGGCTCCGGGATCTTGGAGCCAGGAGGGGAAGGGTTTGAGGAACAAACGGTGATGCTGTTTCTCTTACATTAGGAAGGGCACTCTCCGTGTCAGGGGCTTTATGGCGATCTTCGGTTTAGCAACTGTAGCCTCCCTGGAAGGCGGGTTTGGCTGTCGACCGTTTCTGCCGCCAGGGCTTCAAGACACGACTGGACTCGGCCAAGGTCGCAGTCTGAGCAGCAGAATCAGAAGGGAACCCTGAGCTCCCCGATTTCATATCCATGCTCTTGCCACTACCATTTGTTTCTTTTGCTAGATCTCACATGGTACGAAGAGGACTAAGGGACTGAAGGCCATGACAAGGTCATGAGCAGCCAACAGGGGAGACGGAGAAACCTTCGCTTCCCAGGCCAGCACCACGGGGCCCCTCATGCTCCCGCTATTGCTTTCTGGCTCTCACTTCCACGTGGCCTCTTGAAACCGTTCTAGAAAGGACACGAGTGAGAGTCCAACTGCCAAAGCCCATGCCTTCTCTTTGTCCTTATTATCTCTGAGTGTCTCCCTGCACCTTACACCTCAGGCCTGCCTTCCTCTTGGGCAGGACAGAGCCACCACGGAGGCTCGCAGGGGGCCAGAGCACCACATCACTGAGACCCACATCACTGCTATAGCTCTAATTGACACTGGGGAACAGAGAAACACAGCCCCAGAACATCCTTCTAGTAGGCTATGGGTGCCCAAGTGACAGTTTGTGTTAGACCTTTGACTAACAATCACAGGGAAAAGGGCTGTTATCAAGCCCTTTCTAAGGACATGAGCGTGTCTTAGTCTAGCATCCTTTTGGAGTGTCTTCGATACTGCTATTCAAATCCCTCTGGAATGATTGCAAGCAATGGCCAGATGCCCACGGCTTCAGGACCATGGAAAGGGTTGTTTTTTTGTTGTTGTTGTTTTTGTTTTTTTAATAAATACAGATTCTTGTGCTCACACCCTGGGGATCTGGATTCAGTAGGTCTGGATTTGAATCTTTAAGAACAGCTGGGGGGTTGTGAGTTGCTGGGAGGTTTGGGGCCATCTCCCTTGGTTGGCTGGATAAACTTTTTCTCTGTTAGACTTCAGTCTTGAGCTACAAAGCAGGGCCTTGTTACTGTGTTGCCAGCAGTGAAGGTCTTGGGTGATTCAGCATTATCGCCCTCCCCTGCGATGGGCTGTGTCTCATATAGGGCAGTGTAACAATTAGGTTAACTTCATGGGCCTCTGTGCCTGCTTACTGGTGGCCCATCAAGAGATGGGATGGTGTGTGCTGTGGGGGTGGGAGTGGGATAGGACAATTCCCTCTTCTCACATATTAGATGGCTGAAAACAGCAGTTTCCTACATTGTCCTATATAACTTCAAAATTGCTTTAGCCAAGGAAAATGTTGGCCTGACAGCTAATCTATGGCTAAAGAGGGGACCACGGTTTTTGCTTATATGGCGGGGAAAAAAATTATTTATTTATTTATTTATTTGGCAGAGAAAGACACAGAGAGGGAACACAAGCAGGGAGAGTAGGAGAAGGAGAAGCAGGGAACAGGGAGCCTCACACCGGGCTTCATCCCAGAACCCGGGATCATGACCTGAGCCAAAGGCAGACACTTAATGATGAGCCACGCAGGCGCCCCTGGAAAAAAATTTTTTTAAGATTTTAATTATTTGCGAGAGAGAGAGTGAGAGAGCACACAAGCGGAGGGAGCAGCAGGCTCTCTGCTGAGCAGGAACTGAAATCATCACCCCTGAGCTAAGTCCCAGCTTCACTCTTTCCCTGCTGCGTAACTGGATGGTGGCCGGACTCAGGCTCGGCTCGTCTGTGAGTGTGACGAACGTGGTACATACTTCCAGGGCTGGTGTGAGTCGGTAAGACAAATGGGCAGAGGAGGTAGTACAAAGCCTGGTACACCTGAGCGCTAACTTCCTGCTTCCTGCGACCATAATCGTTATTACTCTGTTGTCATCACCACCACCTCTTTCATTATCACCTTCATCATCATCAGTCACCGCCTTTGTCACCCTCACCTCTGGCTGATGGAGACGGGAATATCAGACTATGCGTGTTCGTACAAACTCAGAAAGAAGCTGCAAGTCTGGACTGGCCCTCACTGTCTTTTGGACAATACAGGTAAATGAAGGGGTCCTCAGGTACATTTTAAAATTTGTGCCTGGGTCTTGTTGCTAATATATATGTAAGTTAGACTACGGAGAGACTGTTCACACGCGTGTTGTCTTTCAGGCTTGAAGCAACTTATTTGTGACATCTGTTTAGACAACATTTGGAAAAGTAAATCCTAATTCTGAAAGTCAAGTTCAAATCTACTTCCAAAAAGGGTGTGATTGCCATTAATCGCTGAAGATATGGTCGGCTTAATTCAGATGTGAATGTTTTTGGGCGAATGCCAGCTTGGAAGTGTCACCCGTCTCATCAAAACTGAATGCCCAGATAACATCACTTCTACGCAATTACTGCCAACTCCCACCTCTGCAGACGGCAGGCAGCCTTCCCGACTTTCCCAGAACCCCAGCAAATCTAACAGGTGTTCTAGTGGAAGGCCACTTCTTGTGAGCAGTCTGCCCCCTGCTGGTGAGTCAGAGCATTGCCTTACCTTTCAGGCCTAAAGGTGACAACAGAATTTGTTCTCACATTTTATTTTATTTTTTTGTTCTTCTTTATTATTCTCACATTTTAAAAATGATTACTGTCTCTTTTGGGGTAATATATATATATACATTATTATTAATAATATATAATTTAAATAGGAATATATATTAGTAATTTCTATGTATGTATTATATATCTATGGATATAGACACAGAATATATATATATACATATATGTATTTAAGAACTCATTGGAGCACTAGTATGTGATAGAGTGTCTGACTGAGGCATGTGCTAGGCTACAACCTCACCACTGAGTTCCAAACTTCATGGGCCACACTTTCAAATGAAATTTAGAATATTTTAATGAAAATACCAATGGCGATTTCCGCCAGGTGTGCAATGTGTACCCTGAGCACTGTTGGGCTGGATGTCTACAGTCCTGCCCAGTGGGACCTTAAGTGCTTCGCAGAGGGAAAGCAAAACAAAGAATGTCTATTAGCCTATTCTGAGATTGATGGAGAAATGGAACAGCATAAATATTAAGTAGCAAGATTATTAATAGCTATCATTTATCAGACTTTTAAAAAAGATTTTATTTATTTATTTGACAGAGAGAGAGATCACAAGCAGGCAGAGAGGCAGGCAGAGAGAGAGGGGGAAGCAGGCTCCCCGTTGAGCAGAGAGCCCGATGCGGGGCTGGATCCCAGGACCTGAGCTGAAGGCAGAGGCTTAACCCACTGCGCCAACCAGGTGCCCCTATTGGGTGTTTTAAAGTGCTTTGTGTTCCAACTATTATTACAAGTTGACATATGGGGAATCATCTACACTTGATCAAGGAAGATAAGCTAATTTGGATTTTTGGTAACAAAGATCTCTAGTTCATGGCTTGTTTAGCAAAGTAATTAACTAAAATTTCAACATAGACGGGGGATTTTGAATATGGAAGCACCACTCATGCAAAAAGGAAGCCAGAGCAGAGAACACAGCCTTGTCCTCTGTGTCAAGTGAGGCTGTCCTAGTACCAAGCAGACTATTATTTTTGTTGTAGCTGACCCCAAAATCTATTCTTTCCGTAAGCAAGTGTTGGGCACCTGTGATGTGCCAGACACTATCCCAGGTACTAGGGATGCATTAGCAAACAAAAGGGATGACAAACAATCAAACAACAAACCAAAACATCCCTGCCTTGTGGCACTTCCATTAGCAGAAGGCGGCTTCTCAGACCGGGCGTGTATCTGCATCAGCTGGAGGGGTCCCCGAAACACAGAATCGCTGCATGAACCCCCGACAGTACCAGCCCAGTTTCTGAGTCAGGTCTGGGGTGGGGCCCGAGAGCTTGCGGTGTATGTACACGGGGGATGGGGATGGATGAGGACAGATCTGCCTCATCCCGCACACACTCTGATTTGTCAGGCTCCGAGCTAGGCATTATGTGTGCATCATTTCAATAAATCTGCCCGATTTTACAGTATCACATTACAGACGAGGAAAGCATGGTGTTGAGAGGTTACATGAGTCACTTAATAATGACTACAACTAACGTATGGGTCAGGATTCTCCAGGGAGACCTAACCAACAGGATATATATATGCATGTATAAAATATACAGATTCATTTTACGGAATTGGCTCCTGGGACTGTTGGAGCCGGCAAGTCCTGTATTTGTAGGGTAGGCGAGCAGGGTTCCTGTTTTACAGTCTTGAGGCAGAATTCTTTCTTCTCTGGAAAACCTCCATCTTTGCTCTTAAGAGTCTCAACTGATTGGTTGAGGCCCACCACATTATGGGTACCTCTTTTACTTAAAGAAATAAGCACCTGGAAATGGAATGTTGGCCAAATCTAAAAAAGTGTTCACGTCAATGCTAGACTAGCGTTGGACAGACCCACTGGGCTCCACTGCCTACCTAGCCCAGGGTCACAGAAAGTAACCACGACGGCTTGTCGTGGCTGAAACTCATTTTCAAGACCAGATCTGTTGGACTTCAAAACCCTTCTGCCTTGCCTTGGATTCCTCACAGAATAAGGCCGGGCCGACGAGAGAGGCCCAGGCAGTTCTCGCTGAGAGAAATGAAATGAAAATTTGGAAAACAGAAGTGAGCGATTTAAACGTGCAAGCCCTTTGGGCTTGCGTTGGGCAGGGGCTTAATTTGTTAGGAGGTAATCACATAGAACAGAAGAACCATTTTCCCCACAAACGGCCAACAAGCCGTCCTGCGTGTGACCACATGTATTCTCCCCGCCCCCCGCCCCGTTGTTAATCTATCAGTGAGTGAAGGATTTACAGCAGCCAGTGGCCAGCTCTTAGTTCTTCATACCTGCCCTTCGCTCGGAGATGCTGCTCCTGTGAAAACAGTCCTTTGATTCTCCTGTCCTTGTGGTCAGTCCAAAGTGGTAAATGCTCTTTGTCCCGCCACCCGCGCCCCCCGGCCCCCATTTCATTTTGGCTGCTGGTTTTTGCCGAGTATCTTCTCCCTTAAGGATGTAGCGCCATCTGGTGAAGGAGGGGGTGCTCTGCAGCCATGTGTCCCCTCTTCCCGCAGGCTTCCCACAGAATGTCCTCCTTGGGTGGAGATAAAAGTCTCTGGTGTGGGGTGTGTTTGTGGGGGGCATGGGGGGTGAGGCGGTGCATGTGTGCAGGGTGTGTGTGTGTGTGTGTGTGTGTGTGTGTGTGTGTGTGTGTGAGGTTCTGTCTGTTACACAGGATACACACCAGCAAATAAGGGAGAGGAGTCTATATCTGGCCCTTCTCTAGCAGGTTGGCCGGGACTCCTACTCCCCTCTTGGATCCAGAAGCCACAGAGGCAGCCCCCTGCCCATGAGCCTGCCCCTGCCTGGGGAGGTGTTCAGAGCTGGGCTGCTGAGGATAGGGGGCTCTGGGAAGCTGTCTGGGAGGAGGGCCAATCTCTGGTTGGGGCTGAGGTAAGGGATCTCAGGCCGCCTGGCCTATTGTGTTCCCCAGCGTGAACACCAAGCCGGGGAGGCTTCCAGAGAGAGGGGGAGGCCCCCCGGGAGAGGCTGGGCCCCAGGAAGTGCTGCAGCCAGTGGCCCAGCGCGGGCTCTTCCTGGAGTGAAGGCTCCAGACAACAAGGAGGCAGTCTGAAGGGCAGGAGGGTCCCTGGAGAGACAGAGAACCTGGTCTGTGTGGTCAGGGTCTGCCTCTGAGGTCCGGTCTGTGTGTCAGAGTGCGCGTGCATGTGTGTGTGCGTGTGTGTCCGCGTGTGCCTGCACGACTTCTTTGTCCTTTGGTGTCATCTTTCATTTTCTCTCTGTCATGCCTGACATTTTTAGCATTCAGCCTTAAAAATACCCGAAGCCCAGGTTTTACCGTTTTGCAGTACTTTACAACCTATAAAGTGATTCACATGCCTGCTCGTTTCATTATTTATAGCTCAGGAGATCTGACTGGCCCCATGTGGCAGGGGAGGAACAACGGCTGCTAGAATCTGAGGGATTTGCTTGCAAGTGGGGAAGATCGGAACCAGTTCCGGGGAGTGAGAACCAGCCCTGCTCCCCTCGCAGGCTAAGTGCTTGGGAAATGGGCGACAGGGGGCGCGGGGGTCCAGGCACTCACTCGGCTCCTTGGCACTGAGCCACGTGCTGGGACACACCCGCAGGGGTGCATCACCATCACCGGCGCCCGCGCCCCCCACCAGGCTGAGTGCAGCCCTGAAGGCTTCAGGGAAGTGGTTACCAATAAACCTGCTTTACTTAAACCAACAGATGATTCCGGAACTACACACCTAAATAACCGGGACCGGCACTTCTGGGAGAATAAAGTTCACCAGGCTCCCAGTTCTGCAAGGCGCATGCGCGGAGCACAGAAAACGGCCAAGAGATAACGGGGATGAGATACGAAGGCAAAACAGATCCAGGTACCCAGGCTCGTCTGAGCGTCCTGGTCTCATTCTCCTTCCCGGGGAGGCACCCCTCCCGGCCTCTGGCTGGACACCGGAGGAGGAGGAGGCTGGGGTAGGGACCACAGCTGAGGGGGGAGCGACTGGACTATTTGTTTGGCTCCAGCCTGGGCATCCCCGCGCAGGTGCCCTGTGCACCCCTCCCTTCATCCGCTGAACACCTGCTCTCCGACGTCCAAGCGAGCCGGCGCCCCCTGCACACCCCGCTTTTGCCGCAGTGTTTCTTCCTCCAGGGAAGGGCACCACCGTCCGCCCAAGGCAGAAGTCCGAGCACTGACTTGAACTTCTGCTTCTCTCATTCTGTCTTCTCGCTCATTGACAGGGTCCGCAGCCCCGACGTCCAGCCCCACCTCTCGGTCGTCCTGGCTGCCCTCACCAGTGCACCGGGCATCTCTCCGGGCTTGCATCTGGTGGTGGGCAGCTGCCACATCGGGCCCCACAGCAGCTGCTGGGAACTTTGGCTGCTGCTGGTTCTCCTCTGAGACGCTATCCAGCACTTTCCCTCAAAGAGCACTCGTGGATGTGGGGACAGGCCATCTCCAGTGACACAGATGCATGCTAAAGGCCGGCCTCTGGTCCCCCTGTCTCAGAGCAGACGACTCTGGAGAGACGCCTGACTTCCCAGCTCCACCCCGTCTTCCGCTCAGACAGAGTCGCCTCCGTCTGCTCAGTCCTGCCTCCTGCTGCTGCTCTGCTGCTACCCGGGACAGGGCTTCCCAAGACCCTCCTGTGTGCAAGTCTCAGAGGCTGTTTCCCTGGGAACCTGACCTATGGGAGTTGGTAGCAGGAGCCATCCTAGGACACAAACTCTAAAATGCGGGGTGGAGGTGGAGACCCACCAGCTGGTGGCCATAAAAAAGGCTGTTACTGGTGGCCAGCGAGCACCGGCAGCCTCAAGGGGTCTGGAGCTCAAATCTCCGTGCAGAGGGCCGGGCTGCCCTGAGAGCATCCTGTCTCTGGCCATGCACCCATGGTGTTCAATGTCTGTGCTGGGAAAAGACCACAGGGAGCCTACTGCAGGCCAGAGGAGAGTCACAATGATGGTATCTGGGGCTCTGCCGCTGAGAATTAGGCACTATTTGGGAATAAAGCTCCTGGCGGGCTTCCGAGCCCTGCGGGGCTGGAGTGCTCACGCAGCAGTCCTTGCGATAGCAAATGGTCATGTTCAGTAGTCGTGGCTTCAGTATGGCACACGACCCTGGGTTTGGACCACCGGGGATGAGAGGGATGCAAAAGCCTGGCCCCTGTGATGCAGAGGGACTCAGAAGGACCTTTCCTGCTCCAGAGCTCCTTGTAGGACTGTTGTAGCTGCCCCACCGTTCAACCCTGCCCCCGTCTCTCTGCACGGAGCTCCCCCGAGCGCCCTGCACACACCTGCTCTCAAACCCCTGGTCATGGGGTCTGCTTCCTGAAAACTATTACAGTTCCCTACTGTTTCTCCTACTGCAGCTGGTGATTCTTCTTTTTTTTTTTTCTTTTTAAAAAAATGACTTATTTATTTTTAGAGGGAGAGAGAGAGGGAGAGCATGAGCAGGGGGAGAGACAGAGGGAGAGGGAGACAGAGAATCCCAAGCAGCCTCCCTACTGAGTGCAGAGCCTGGTCACCCTGAGATCATGACCTTAGTGGAAACCAAGAGTCAGATCCTCAACCAACTGTGCCACCGGGCACCCCTCTGGCGATCTTTCAAAAACACCCATCTGATGGTGTCAAACTTCTTTGAATCCTTCAATGCCTTTCCAGTGCTCTTAGTTCCACTTCCGTGACATGGCTCATATGAGCCTTTGTTGGCTACCCTCTGACTATTTCTCCAGCTCGGTCTGTTGCTACTGCCGCCAACACCTCATGCTGTGATCACACTGAGCTGCTCTCGCTTCTCTGAATACGCCATTCTCCATCTCTAGAACGCTGCGTACTTCGTCTCTGCCTAGAGCATCCTTAAGTCCTGTCTTTGTCTGGATAGCTCATCTTCTCAGTCTCAGACTTCATTTCTTGTGACCAATTCCTTGAACGTCTTAGAAAACTAGCTGTCATAGTGTCCTCAACTTCCCTGATTGTGCCTCTCAGCAAATAGTTTTTAATTATTTGCTTATTTGTTTTTCTATGTCACTAGATTATAAACCTCATATATTACTCTGAGAGAGAGAGAGAGAGAGGGAGAAAACCCTTCAGTTCTACTCAATTATACAATACAGAGTCATCACTTATAGTCACCAGGTCATACAAGTGGTCGTTGGAACTTACATCTTATAGCTGAAAGTCTGTGCCCTTTTATCAACCTCTCCCTATTTTTACAATCCTCTAACCCTGGCAACTACTTTTCTACTCCCTGTTTCTATGAGTTTGAGTTTTGTTTTTCTTTTTTTATTCCACATCCATGAGATACCATACAGGATTTGTCTTTCTCTGTCTGTCTTATAATGCCCTCCAGTTTCATTCGTGTTGTTGCAAATGACATAATTTCCTTCCTTTTAAAAGACTGAATAATATCTCATTGCATATATATATATATATTTTTTTTTTTTTCTTCTTTAAGCTTTCATCTGTTGACAGATACTTAGGTTGTGTCTGTGCCTTGGCTACGGTGAATAATGCTGCTGTGAACATGGGAATGCAAATATCTTCTTGAAATGATTTTCCTTCCTTTGAATATAGACTCAGAAGTGGAAATTCTGGATCATACAGTAGTTCTAATTTGAATTGTTTGGGGGCCCTCCATTCTGTTTTTCATAGTTTCTTTTCTCCATACCCTTGCTAGCATTTGTTATCTCTTGTCTTTTTGATACTCTGTGATTTTGATTTGCATTTCCCTGATGTTTAATGATGTTGAGCAGCTTTTCATATACCTGTTGGCCATTTATATGTCTGATTTTTGTATACTGATACCCTGCAACTTTACTGAAGTCGTTTATTAGTTCTAACAGGTTTTTGGTGAATCTTTTGGGTTTTCTGTATATAAAATTATGCCATCTGTAAATTGAGATCCTACTTTTTCCTTTCTTATTTGGATTCCTTTTATTTATTTTTCTTGATTAATTGCTCTCAATGGGACTTCCAGTACTATGTTGGATAAAAATGATGGACATCCTTGTCTTGTTCCTGATCTTAGAGGAAAAACTTTTCCACTTTTCACCATTGAGTATGATGTTACCGGTGAGCTTGTCCTAGATGGCCTTTGTTATGCTGAGCTATATGTTCTCTATACACAGTTTGTTGAGTGTTGTTATCAGGAATGGATGCTAAATTTTGTCAAGTGCTTTTTCTCCATCTATCGAGAAGCTCATATGATTTTTATCCTTCATTTTGTTAATGTATTATATTGACTGGTGGATGTTGAACTGTACTTGCATTCCTGGAATAAATCCCACTTGATCATGATGTATGATCCTCTTGCTGTATTATGGAATTGGATTTGCTAATATTTTGTTGAGGATTTATGGATCTATGCTCATCACGGATATTGACCTGTAATTTCCGTTTTGGTAATTCCCTCGTCTGGATTTGGCATTAGGGTAAAGTTGACCTCGTAAAATGAGTTTGGAAGTATTCCCTTCCTATTTTTTGGAAGTCTTTGAGAAGAACTGGTGGCAATTCTTTACACATTTGCTTGAAGTCACCAGTGAAGCCATCCTGATCCCACACTTTTGTTTGTTGGGAGGTATTTTTTGTTTGTTTATTTTTAAGATTTTAACTATTTATTTGACAGAGAAAGAATGAGTGGGAGTGGGGACAGAGGCAGAGGAAGAGGGAGAAGCAGACTCCCTGCTCAGCAAGGAGCCTAATTAGGGCCTCCATCCCCAGACCACAAGATTATGACCTGAGCCGAAGGCAGAGGCTTAACTGATTGACCACCCAGGGGCTCTTCTTGGGAGGTTTTTGTTACTGATTCAGTCTTCTTACTGGTAATTGGTCCATTCAGATTTTTTATTTCTTCATGATTCAATCTTGTATAATTGAATTGTATGATTGAATTGTATGTTTTTTCTTCTTTTCTTCTAGGTTGTCCAAATCCAGGTGAATAATTGTTCATAGTAGTTTCATGATCTTTTGTGTTCCTGTGGTATCAGTTGTATGGTCTCCTTTCATTTCTGATTTTATTTATTTCAGACCTTTCTTTCTTGGCAAGTCTAATAAAGGTTTGCTAATTTTGTTTATCATAAAAGTTTGATAATTTTGTTTATCTTAAAAAAAAACCCAGCTTTAATTTTACCGTTGTTTTCTGTAATCTTTTTGGTCTCTATGTCATTTATTTATTTAAAGATTTATTTGACTGAGAAAGAGCAGGAGAGCACAAGCAGGGGGAGTGGCTGGGGGAGAGGGAGAGGCAGGATCCCCATTGAGCAGTCAGCCTGACAGAGGGCTTGATCCCAGTACCTTGGGATCATGACCCAAGCTGAAGGCAGTCGCTTAACCAACTGAGCCACCCAGGGTCCCTTCTGTAGTATTTATTTCTGCTCTGATCTTTGTTATTTCCTTCCCTCTACTCACATTGGGCTTAGTTTGTTCTTAATTTTGTTGCTCCTTGATGTGTCAAGTTAGATTGTTTATTCGAGATTTTTATTGTTGTTTCTTGAGGTAGGCATTTAATTTCAGTTTGAAGAACTCCCTTTAACATTTTTTTCTAAGGCCAGTCTAGTGGTCATGGACTTCATCAGCTTTTGTTTTTCTGGAAAACTCTCTCTTTCAGTCCTAAAGGACAACTTTGCTGTGTAGAGAATTCTTGGTTGGCAGTTTTTTGGTTTTTTTTTCTTTCAGTACTTTGAATATATCACCTTACTCCCTTCTGGATGGCAAAGTTTCTGCTGAAAAATATGCTGACAGTCCTTTGGGAATTCCCTTGTACATAAAAAGTTGCCTTTTCTTGCTGCTTTTAGGATTCTCTTCTTGTCTTTAACTTTTGACAATTTACAATGTGTCTTGATAGGGATCTCTTTAGATCTCATTTAGTACATTTTGAACTTCCTGGATGTGGATATCTGTTTCTTTCACCAGGTTAGGGAAGTTTTCAGCCATTATTTCTTTGAATAAGCTTTCTGATTTTCTCTCTTCTCCCAGTAGGACCCCTAAAATCTGGATATTGGTCTCCTTGATGATGTCCCATAAGTTCTTCAGGCTATCTTCATTTTTAAAATTCTTTTTCTTTTTCTTTCTTTTCTTTTTTTTTTTTAAGATTTTATTTATTTATTTGACAAAGAGAGAACGCTCACAAGCAGGGGGAAAGGCAGAGGGAGAGAGAGAAGCAGGCTTCCCACTGAGCAGGGAGTCTCATGTGGAGCTTGATTCTGGGACCCCAAGATCATGCCCTGAGCCAAAGGCAGATGCTTAACTGGCTGAACCACCCAGGTGCCCCTGAAATTCTTTTTCCTTTTTGCTGCTCTGGTTGGATGAGTTCCACTTGACTGTCTTTGAGCTAACTGATCCTTTCTTCTACTTCATCTAGCCTGCTGTTGAACCCCTCTAATGTATTTCTCAGATCAGTTATTGTATTTTTCAGCTTTGTGACTTCTGTTTGGTGTTCTTTATTTTCTATCTCTCTGTTGGAATTCACAGTTTATTCATGCTTTGCTTTCCTGACATTGGAGGATCTTGATGACTGTTATTTTGAACCCTCTATTGGCTAAATCACTTATCTCTGTTTCACTAAGATTTGTTTCTGGAAATTTATCTTGTTCTTTTGTTTGGTACATATTCCTCCATTTCTTTATTTTCCTCGACTCTCTGTGTTGGTTTTTGTGCATTAGATAAAACAGCCACCTTTCTCATTCTTAATAGAGTGGTCTTATGTAGGAGACGAGTCTTGTTAATTAACCTGGCCCTAGTTCCTAGCTGTCTCTCAAAACTTGTGATTGTTCAAGCCTCCTTCTTTGTTCTTCATGGCTTCTCTCATAGTTGAGGGTGTGTCAAGACCTGTCAGGATACCA